AAGTTGCATGCAGATGTCTGTAGATGCATGTACAACACGAGTGTGCCTCGCATTTGTCGGGCTTGAAGGTGTAACAACGAATTACCAAGCTGGATCCAGACTAAGTTGGCATAATTGCCTTGGAAACAGGTGGCCAAGTTGGACAACCCTGGATGCTTATGCTGCTGCGTGTATGCATGTGGTTCAAGACCAATATAGTTCCTCATTGGAGGAGGAACGGGAGGTTAGTGATGTTGGATGATGTGTGGGATGCGGATTTATGTTAGAGGCAATAGAGGAGTCGGGAGGAGAGGAGAAGAGAGGAGAAAGGACTCCGGGAGAGGAAGAGGGAGAGGGACAGAGAGAATGTGTGTGAGAGAGAGAAAAAGTGTGTGTGGAAGGAAGAAAGATGATGAAAGAATGCATGCACAGGATGAATGGATGGATGGATGAATGGGCAGGTAGTACATCATCGAGTGTACCTACCTACTCCAATCTTTACTTTCAGGTACCTAACCTAGCTTGTGCACTAGTATACGTCTCGGGGAAACTCTATTCGCAACCAAGCTACTGCTAACCTGGCACCTTAGCTCGGACTAGAGGTATAGCAGATGTATTTTAGTGACTAATTTACACGCATCGAATAACCAGGACCACTAAGGTAGGTACACCTATGTAGCCAAGATCAGGTATGTACATACGTAGCTCGGGTGGACTGAGGTAAGAGAGGTAGGTAGGTGTACGTTATTAGGTCCGACCAGTTTTTAAATGTCTTGGACTGGACTTTCTTGAAGCTTGCACCATTGGGAACCAGACTTTCAGGTGATTCCATAATTCTGGAAATCCATAAATTAGGCCGCACCTCCCGTCTCCTGCATTCCGTCCTTACCGGCAACAAGACCAAGTGAGGAAAAAAAAATAGAAATCTCTCTCTCTCCCTCCGCAACTTCCATCAACTTCTCTCTGACACCACAAAACCACAAAACCAGGCTAGTAAGTTAAAGTCTTTCGACAACCCCTCAGCTGTGTGCCCCTCACCTACACTGCCTTCCTACAATAGGTATTAGGTATTGGGTATTAGTAGTGCTATTTCCTCTCCCCCCTCTCCCCCCCCACTACGCATAAAGGCGCTAAATGTCCCACCTGTTTATGTACCAGGCCCAGGTCGATCAGCCAACCTGAACCAATTTTATTAACCTACTTCAATTATTTTACCTTACCACCTCTTTCTTCCCATCACCACCGACCAACCAACTAACAACAAAAAAACACCACCACTTTTCTACACACCAGATCATACCAGACCAGACCACCCGACAAGACAAGACACGACAACAAAATAAAAACAGACGATACCACCACCACGACCATCATCGTCATCATGGCTGTCACCAAGACTGTCATCCAGGAGGGTACCGGTGCCCAGCCTACCGTAGGCCAGACTGTCACCATCGAGTACACCGGCTGGCTCAAGGACACCAGCAGGCCAGATAACAAGGGATCTAAGTAAGTAAAAAACCTAGGTTAGGTTGGGTCGCTGACCGAACCGTTACCCGTGCTGTCGAAAACCAACAGAACAATGGAAGAAGCGCAAAGCTACCCCTCCATCCCGTCTTGGCGCTCGTAGCTGTTGCGTTGTGACGGTGACGTCAAAGCTGGCTGTGTTATAATTGGCCTCCTCGCTAACAGCCCGCCCACCCCCCAACAGGTTCGACTCTTCCGTCGGACGCGGCGATTTTATCACCAAGATTGGTGTCGGTCAGGTTATCAAGGGTACGATCTGGTCCTCGAACTTACCGGCTTAACCCGGCCTTTCCTCTGACGCAATGGCTGATGGTGCATAGGCTGGGACGAGGGTGTTACCCAAATGAAGGTTGGCGAGAAGGCTACTCTGGACATCACAAGCGACTACGGCTATGGCGCTCGGTAAGCCCCTTTTCTCTCTCTTTCTCTCCCTCCCTCTTCACCCGACCCCTACCCGCCCCCCTACCGAACCCATACAATGAATATCGATATACGGTTTAGCTTACCAGCGCGTGTAGCGGCTTCACCGGCCACATCCCACCCAATGCCGACTTGATCTTGTGAGTAATTAACGCTTCTCCTCTTCCATCTCCTCCAGCATGTCCGAAGTAACCGGGTCACCCCTTGCTGATCCTCCACCGCCTCGCAGTGATGTCCACCTGAAGAAGGTTCAGTAAATGCACATGGCACCGTTCGCTCGCACCCTACAGACTTTGTCTAGTCTAAACGGATAGATCACCATCAGAATACTCTCTCGTTGTCATTGGCACATTTGCTCGATACGGCAGCATTCGTTAGGGAGGTTTACGTGTGGAAGACACAAATCTGACAATCGTTCATCTTTTTACTTCTTCTGCTTGCTTGCGGCATATTTTCGTGACACGATGAACAAGCATCTACGAGCCGTAATCCCTCCCACTCATGTCACTTACACCAAATTCGGATCTTTGGCTTCGAACGAGTGGCTTTCCGCTCATAGACCCCTACTAGGACTAGGTCCCCTAAGAATGCAGTCCCCTCGTCATCCTGCTGTGACTTGTTGCAGGATGCCATGCATTGGCCTGAATGGCAACCGAACCCCTCCAACTGCATCTGCGTTCCACAGCAGCTCACGAGGTCCCCGTCCCGATCTAGGCCGTTCCTCTAAATAGGTAATAGTTTTCAATATTGTGAATGCTAGTTACTTGCTCCCCATCCAGGATAACAACCTATGACAAGCCTCTGATAAAGGATATCGAGAAAAAAAAATAGAAGCAAAAAAATAAGTTCATGCTTCCAACCGAATACTCGCTTAATCTAGATGAGATGCGTGTAAGAAAAAACAAAAAGGCTGCTTTTCTAACCCCCTCTCTTCCCTAGCCCCCCTCTTCTGAAGCTTTATGATCTTACTTGCCTCGGAGTCGTTCACAAAACTTTTCAAGGCCCTTCGCAACACAGCGATATGATATCGAAGATCATTTAGGTTTTCAATAAGATCAATTAGCAATTGGTTTAAACCCCTTGGGAACAACACCGCCCCATTTGAACCTTCGGGTTATCGACACTAGATCTTCACTAATCAGGCACGCTTTGAGATATCAATATGAACGATGGGCTCTGTATATTCCTCTCTTTCCTCTTCACTTCGAGCTTGCTTTTCGATATCCTAAGTAGACAAGTCTATTGTGAAGATGTCACCAACGGTATAATCCGTATGCGATGTCTGTCATGAAACCACAATATCTGACCCATGGTGCAAAGGCTCAAGGAAAGGGATCAATAAAATACTAGGCACTTAGGAAGTATCTATATGCGGATGGGTAGAGGTGTCAGCCGGCGGTCGGGACCTGATTCCGATAGATCAGATCAAGCAAATCGACGGGAGCTCCATCCAAATGACCTCCCCCGAATACTTAACTTACCTGAGGTTAGTGTGTTGTGACGAACCATTAATCGTCCATGTTAACTGAAGTTGTGATGCTCTAGTTTTGCGAGATTGGAGTTACGAATGGTCCGTTATACCTAGCAGCTAAGTACTTTTAACTATTATTGATGTGACAGGTTAGTACCGACCGAAACTGAAGGTTCTACGGGCTACTTGATGCGAGCTGAATGGTGGACCAGCCGCCAAGGACTCGTTGGTTCGAACCCAACAGGTCAGGTCGGGAGGTACATTGATACATAGGTACCCTGAAAGCCAGAGTGGTAGGTAAACGACAAGTTTCTCCGGCACACCAGACCTGACATTAGATACAGGCACATTGCCTACATAGTACCTAGGCCTAACTAACATTGATAGGCCTCAAGCCCCCCCCCCTCCGGGTCATTGGCAGGAAGCCGAGAACATGCGTATCAAATTGATACTACGTACTATCTAGATCAATGTAAGTTAAGGCAAAGGACATTGTGAGATGCCTAGAATCGGCTTTGTAAAAATGTTTGATAGGCCCAATGGCGAAATATCGCCTACCTACCTAGTATAAAGCTTAGCGTAGACCATCAAAGGTATATCAATGTGTCAATGCGGCAGACTGGGCTGTACTGTAGTACGTATACCTAGTGTCTAGGTTAGGTTTATGTTGTGTACATATTTGATCTATTTGATTGATACTAGGCACATAACGAACACCGCCGCAAGCACCACCTAGGCGTCAACCTCTTCACTTCGGAATTCTAATCTCAACATTACTATCACCTACATTGATACCTACTAGTTAGTTGAATAGGTAGGTAGATAAGTAACTGAATAGGGTATTCAATCCATACAAGATGATCCGCCGCGGTTCTACCTACCTACCTATGTATTCCAACAACCCCTGCCGCAACGGTACCGAAACCTGCCACTTGTCCTTGCTCTGGACAACCAGGACCTCGAACGAGCATATATAGCTAGCCTTCACCAATTCCTGGGACCAGAGAGTAGGCAGTACCTAACCTTAAGGCATTCAGACTCTTGTATCGCAGCCGTGCCATATTTCGTTCGTACATGAGCCTAGTCCCCCATTTCCCCACCAACAATCCCTTAGTCGATACCTATGGCCAAGGCTCGCGAGCGCTTTCCAGATCGTCATCGCCGGTGGAGCTGTATGTAAGTAAGTAAGCCTTGCTGACCTTCTCTGGCGAATATGCATGCTATTGGAAGCTCATGATGTGAAATCCGGAAGGGATTGGGCTTGCAGAGGTGTAGCCGTGGTAGCTGTATACTTTTTATAAAGCCTTGCAACCTACCTAGGTATATGCAACAGCATAACATAATTCCTTAGAGCGTGTCTGATATAGGTATATCCAGGTGGCAGTCGCCCCCTTCTATATAACAATACATACAATACAGCCTGTTGTGTTTTAACTGTGTATGTCTGCTTCAATGTTACTATCTACATAATCACATGTCTAAACCTACCTACCTACTAGTAAATCAGCAGGTAAAAAAACATAGGGAGGTATGTATGTGTATGTATGCACGGGCAGGAGGAACAAAAAATAAACCCAGTAGGGAAGAAAAAAAGAAGAAATCAAATGGGCTCAGCCGGGATTTGAACCCGGGACCCCTTGCATCCACTTTTAGTGAAAGGGAGTTACCCGAAGCAAGGATCATACGACTAGACCACTGAGCCGATTTGTGTTGATGTCGAAAAGTCGTTTTATTGCGTATTATATAGCCTAGCCATTGCTACCAGCCCGTTAGTGTACAGCCAGCTGTTTTAGTCCGAACACCTACCTACCTAATTAACTAGGTTAGGTAGGTACATAGTTCAGAGGTTGGTTTAGTTTGATTTAATTTCTACCTATTATCGCTTCGTTTAGCATTTTGAAGGACTGGAGTAGATAACTCAACTATTCCTCGCCATTAGTTGCTACTCCATACTATAACAACCTTATCTCTGTCTTTTTTCTTCTTCTTTCCTTTTCGATGCAGAAAACGAAGCTAATCTTGCCCAACTTTCTCTCCCGTGCTTTCACAATACTCTATCTCTCTTCAAGTTGCAGATAACAAGTTTCGATTCGAACGATCAACACACCACACCACACCACATCACGACTTTCTTTTTATAGTTATCGCCACTTACTAGTGTGGGGGAACCTTACCTTCTGCTTCGTTCACGTGTTTCTCGAAAAGAGATGATTGCTCCAATGAGGGTCACTTCCTCAAGTCGAAACAACACGAAGTTTTAGAGAGACGAGATCGTCTCCCCGCTTTGTCGGCGGTGTACTCCTATAGTGGACTACCATAGTTGGGAAGGAAAGCATAATTTACACTGAACACACTTTAATTTTGATTAATTTTTGAAATCTAGGTAGTGTATCTTCGATCTACCAACAATTCTTGTAGATACCTAGTCTCCGTAGCATGTCTAGTATACCCTCCCCTTCTCCCTCACCCCCCACCTCCATAATAAAAATGTAACCCGTTCTTGCTTTATGTTATCTATCTCCCTATTTAACCTATGACTTATTCGTGTTGAGTACCGTTTCTAGATCATCAAACTCTCCGCTATGTCTTAGCATGTCATAGAATTGGCCTCTAGCCTCGTAGAGTTCCTTCGGACTTCCCACCCTGTACAAGGTTTGTCTGTCAGTACACGTGTAGCAGAGTTCTCGGAAGCAAATGGCTATTTTTTCCTTTTCTGGGGCCGGGAATGGGAGAGAGATAGAGGAAAGTATGTGGGGGATGGGGAAAAACCCTTACTCTAGAACTGAGCCGGCGCTCATCACCACCACGCGGTCGTAGTCGATGATCGTCTTGAGGCGATGGGCAATAGTGACGAGGGTCCTGTCCCTGCCGTGCTCGCTGAGCTCCTTCCGGAGCACCTCCTGTATACCCTGATCTGTTTCGTAGTCCATGCTTGCTGTCGCCTCGTCAAGTAACATCAGCTTGCTCTTGCGCACGAGCGCCCGGCACAACGAGAGTACCTGCCGCTGCCCGTGTGAGAAGTTCTCACCCTTGGGCTTGACCGTCGTCGCTAGGCTGATGCCTAGATTCGCTATCGCTGAGTCGTGGCTGTTGCCGTGTCCGTTCGCCGCGTGTTCTTCGCCTTGGTGGAACTGGAAGGATGCAATGTCGCTGCAGTACTGCAGCGCCTTCTCGATCGTTTCCTTGGGTATCTCATCTGTCGGGTCAAGATTCGAGCTCACGTCGCCGTTGAATAGAACTGCCTCTTGAGGAATGATGGTGAGCGCCTCCCTGAGCTTTCTCCTCGGGAAGCTTGTGATGTCGATGCCATCAAATAGAATCTGCCCCGATACAATGTTTGTGAAGCGAAGCAGGGAAAGAACAAGCTTTAGGTGATAAAGGTTAAGCAGGTAATTTTAAAATCAAATTCATAGCCATTGGGGCAGAAGTCATGGAAAACTTACTGTACTCTTTCCGGAGCCGGTCCGCCCAACGACAGCGACTCTTTCCCCAGCAGAGAATTTGAGATTGATGTTCTTCAAGATTTCTGGTCCTTCCGGATCGTACTTGATAGTCACATTGCGGAACTCGACCTCGCCACTCCTCGGCCAGTCCCGAGGTATAATTACTTGCGGATTATCACTATAAGAGCTAGCATCCTTATACTCATTGGGCTTTTCCTCTGGTTCTACAGCTGCGTATTCTCGGACTCGATGGTACTAATATTTTGTTAATTCCATATTTTTATCAGCGAATTTAGAAATTGTGAACGTACGCTTTGCAGTTCAATTTCGAGTTCATTCCCAGCCCTGACAAGCATAATAATGAGTTGGCTGAGGGTCTGATAATATTGTTAGTAAGTCATATATGGCCATGGAGCATATGTACTTGCCGTCGCGTTGGTAAGCGAAAACCCAACAATGCCTACCGCTACTAGACCAGCTTTTGACACAGCTATGGCACCCGCCGCGACAGTGACCAGAGTCGTCATCATGTCAACTTTCAATGCCACCCAGCGATTACAGTTATACTGAGCCTCTGAAGCTGTCTCAAATACCCGAAGTCTCTCTGCCAGTTGGTTACCAAATATTTGAGGCATATTAGCGCGGGCCCGGATGATAGGTAGCCCAGCTAGACTGTCGGCGAACTGGGCAAAGAGGGGCGACTGCGATGACGAGACAAGCCTCTTGACAGCCACCGCTGTTCGTGTGTAGAGTTCTCCGGCAACTATACCGACGGCACAGCACGCCGCCGCGGGAAGCATGAAGATAGGAAGTACCGAACCGACTGCTGCAATCTGGAAGCATAGGCGGATCAGTGCCTCGAGACACATGCGAAGCATTCCTGCGAGGGACGTATCGATCGAATTCATATCGCGCGAAAACCTGTTGACGATCCGGCCGACCGGCGTTGTCTTGTACCATGAAAGAGGAACACTCATTACCGCCTTCATGAATGTAGAATGTAGAGTTCGTGCCGCGAACCAGCCTCCGCTTTCGTAGGCTATGTACGTGAGGCCGCTAAACATAATATCTGCCAAGCTCCATGCTGCATATATGCCTAGATAGAAAGCAATATTGTAGGCATCATCTTTTCCGTAGGCATCAACCCAAACGGCGATCCACAGACCTGTTCCAATGAAGGATGCCGTGCTAAGAGTACTCATGGTGATAGCGAGCATTGCGTAAAAGGGGTTACCGAAGAGTCGCATGTAAGAAAAGACTTGAAGAGCCTTGTTAGTTACTGTGATGCCATCAAAGGGCGAGAAGGGGAGGAAGAATACTCACATTGAAGACGTGCGGTCGGACCAGTCTTGAGCGCTTCTTCTGTGACTTCATCGCGGCGTTTAGCTTCAGATGTTTTGAGATGGCCATTAGAAGTCCCGTTAGTAGCTATTCCATTAGTCTCGGATACTCTAGGCGCAACCGTTTCCGCAGCTACATCGACGTTTCCCTCGTCCACTAGATTCGAATCAAGAGTTACAGTCTTTCGAACAATGCCTAAATTCTGCCGAATATCTTTTACCATGCCATTTTCTAAGGTGATAGAAAGATCTGCCTGTGGAGCGATCCAAGGTAGCTGCGTTACGAGCACTACTGTCCTCCCCTGCAGCAGATCACCGCAAAAGGCCTCCTTCCAAAGTAACGACGAGGTTTTAGCATCTAGTGCTGAGAATATATCATCGAGGAGGATGACTGGCGCTTTCGAATAAAGAGCTCTGGCGAGAGCTACGCGTGATTTCTGCCCCCCGGACAATGAGGCTCCGTTCTCGCCCACCTCGGTTTCGTCTCGTTCGGGAAACTCGTTCAAGTCGATCGGCAACCCGCACGCATTAACAACCCGGTCGTATCGTACCTGCTCGAAAGGACTATTAAAAAGGATGTTTTCCCGGATAGTCTCATTCTGCAGCCATGGGCTCTGGGAGGCATATGCAATATCTTTCGGGCAAGTGATGGAGCCTTTCTCGAGCAGAGTCTCGCCCAGAATTGCCATTAGCAATGTTGATTTTCCACTGCCACTTTGACCCATCACCACATTCAAACCACCTTCGACAAAGTCAATTGAGATATCTCTTAAGGCAAAGGCAGCCTTCTTATGGCGTCTAAATGTTGCGTTGCTAATTTTCAGGGGACCAATAGGATGAGGCTTCAACGGCGTAACATTCCGAAAATAGCGATCAAGACGTTTCAAAGACACCGCAGCAGCAGTCACATTTCTTGACATGCCAGAGGCCATCGCAAGGTTTCGTCGCAGGGTTCTAACCAGAGTGATCGCTGTAAATGCAACATCTGCCGTGAGCTGTTGTTTACGGGCTAGAACATGCAGAGTGAAAATCAGAACTAGTGAGAGGGTTGGAATAGACTCAGTAAGCTGGCCCAACATAACGAATCTAGTGGTACGAATATTAGTGTTGTGGCGATGCTGCTTGGGAAACAAGCTGCAGGATACTCACAGCATATTCAGTCTCCAAATCTTCCTTTGCTCACTATGCCGTATCTCGTTGACTTTCTTAATAATAGCATCTTCCCAGGCAAAATACTTAATTGCTCTTATCGAGGCCAAATATTCTGAGATGACTGAGATACGAGAATCTTGTATTTTCTTCATATCACGTTGGATGACAACCATGCTTCGACCTATCAATATGGGCAATGGGGATAGCACGACCATAGTAACAATGCCGACGAGCGCCGGCCAGTTTAAAATTTTATATAGTCCAACAAGCGCAACGATAGACCCAGCTGGGATACCACAGGAAATCATCACGACATCACGGCCATACGTGATAGCGTCGACATCCGCGCTCATCAGATTTGCGAGACGTCCAGTTGACGTGGTAGTCTGCTTCTTTGCACCGTCCTTGTCTTGACCTGCAGCAGAAATATCGGCAAATACTTCATCATCCAACTCCATGGAGCTCATGGCTTTGTAATAAAGCTCCTGCGTCAAGGCCGCCTTTACGCGTACAATCAGACGAGTAGAGGTGAAGATGTACTGCTGGAATGACACAGATCGGGAAAGAGGACCGATAAACAGGAGCACCAACCAGACCCAAGGCCGGAAACGAGATCCCTCCGGATTGTTTAGATAACCTAGCAGCTTATACATAGCAAATGGAGCCACAAGTTCGATAACGAAAGCAAAGGTGGACCAAAATATCATAGCACCAAGCTCTTTGGGTAGAAACCAGATCAGCGTTCGGAGGGTAGTCTCGGCCTTTTG